ATCTAAGTGCCAGCTCAATGCCGTTGTTTGCTTTGGCTATTAAGAATGGCATTAAATATGTGGTGTTTTGTTCCCTAGAAGGCATTTTGTACGTCTTCCTCGGAAGCAAAGCCTCCACTCTGTTTTGGTTTCCCTCAGAGCTCAAGGAAAAAACTAAACAACGGTCTGCTTCCTACATACCTTCATTTCCTTGACAGCGTCCCCGAGCTGCTAAATGTGTTTCTATTTTTCTCCACTCGCGGGCAACTGGGACCACTTCCTTAGGCCACCTTAGACAAGACAGTTATTGATGTGCATCACGCATAGTGCGTTTCCCCCTCACTTACAGATCCCCCCCAGTTCCCATTAACCATTAAAAAAGTGTGTGATCTGGAACCTTTTCCTCATTGGGACAACTATGGCTGTGTCTTCAACATTCAGAGCACATACAGAATGTGCTCCATTAGCATTGATTTTGTGATATCCCCCCCCCAAAGTATAGAAGAGGGAGAGAGACCCAAAGGAAGATAAATGAACTCTGATCAGCATTCAGAGTGGCAAAATTCAGCAGTCTCCTAAAAGAGACAGTGTGTGCTCTTGTGTATGGAGAAGTTCACATGCATATGCTAATATTAGGAGAAAAGCATTGTGTGGTACAGGCCCAACAATCTGGCTGCATGGAAGGGGATCCCCTACATAGTGGTGTGTCCCCCCACACACACACACCGATTTTGTACCTGCCTTGCAACTCTTCTGATTGGCAGACGCCAAACAGATTTTTCTATATCATTGTGGTTAGCTAGTCCAGTGTCGGAAATGGAGAGTGATTAACACATGGAATTCACTGCCACAGGAGGTGGTGGCGGCTACAAGCATGGACGGTTTCAAGAGGGAATTGGATAAACATATGGAGCAGAGGTCCATCAGTGGCTGTTAGCCAGAAGGTATAGATAGGAACTCTCAGTCTGGTGTGGTGTTGTTTCTTTGTGTGTGGCGGGGGGGGGGGGTAGTGGGAGGGCTTCTAGTGTCCTGGCCCCACTGGTGGACTTCCTGATGGCACCTGGTCTTTTTGGCCACTGTGTGACAGAGTGTTGGACTGGATGGGCCATTGGCCTGATCCAACATTGACTTCTTGTATGTTATTATGAGAAGGATTTGTGAGGGGTCCTCCTTCTAGTCCTCCTGCCTCAAGTATGCAGTGGTGTTCAATCAGATCAGTGACAGCCACCTGGAATGAAAGAGGGAATGACTGCAGTTTCATTTGGGCTTCAGAAAATTAACGTGAGCCCGTTTTGCTCTGCAATTATTAACTTGTCTATTAGGCCGACTTCCACACGCAGCCTGTGGCATGCCAGTTGTGACTTGGACAAGTTTTTGGCAAAGAGACTAGTTAGCTGCAGTCCCCCACACACTTCTGGTTGGCAAATGGGTGCTTCCCATTCTATCCATCTGTCTATCTACGGATGAGTGCATGGAGCTGCCCTATACTGAATCAGACCCCCTTGGTCCATCAGGGTCAGTACTGTCCACTCAGACTGGCAGTGGCCCTCTAGGGTTTTGGGTGAGGTCTTCCGCATCACCTACCGCCAGATCTTTTAACTGGAGGTGTCACGGATTGAACCTGGGACCTTCTGCATTGCAAGCAGATGTTCTACTACTGAGCCATGCCCCCCCTCACCCATCTCAACATTATCTTCAACTTCATCCACACACAGAGATACCTTTTAAGGAGGGAGCATCCCAAAGCCAATTTGTAATGCAACTTTCTTTAGGGAGAATCATCATGAAAGACGGTCAGGCTCGCTAGAAAACCTCTCAGAAGTGGTGCAGAATGGATTAAGCTGGCAAGGTGTGGTGTAAGAGGGTGAGGAGTGAATGGGTTGTAAAGTTTAATTCTCGAACTATCTGCCTTTAAATTGCGAGTCTTTGCTAAAAGGCAAGTCATTTCTGCTTATTTCAGCAGAGGTGTGCTGATACTTAGGAAATATGTGCTTGGCTTCTGTCTCTCTGTCTTTCTATGCATCCATCGTATACATTTTTTTGTATAATTGCATATGCACAGTGATATGGCTATACAGTTGTGCTCTTTGAATCCCACTTTCTATGCCGTATAAATTTACAACACAGGTACAACCTTATGCATTCTTGAAAGCTGGTGAAAATGTTTTTGCACCCTTCAGCGATCTACCCACATTGCAACAGGAGACAGTGTGCTAATCAGAAGTCTATGACAGACAGGGAAGGGTGGGGTTTGGGGGCGTTCTGTGATTGACACCTCTGTGCAGCATGTCGGGTTCTGCAGCTAGAAAATCTTCATGACCTTTCTGCAGCAAGTATCGCAGTACTGGCGCAAGAAGGCATTGAGTGTACAAGAACATGCTCTCCGGAGCATTCAGTGGCTCTTTGCTCAAGTTCTTTCCCAGGCACGTCCGAGGGAAGAGAGTCACGAGTCAAATCTGCATGATTTCATCGTAACTGAGAGCATTCGGACAAGGTGTTTTCTTCTGTTTCTAAAAGAACGGGGTGTTCAGGAAGCTCTGGAGAGGCTCGGTCTGCCATTAGTCATTGGGAGTTTCACCCATCGGATTGCAATTGTGGCTGTTGGCAGAGAGCGACTGTTACTCTCCCAGCTCGGTGCTCCTGTCTTTCCAGGTTCTTATAGTCTGATTAAATGCGAAGACCCTTAACGGAAACGTAACAGGCTTTTGGGAGGGACATGTTTCCTTTGGAGTGGGGCTTTGCAGGGAGGAATGTGCCCTTCCCTGCCCTAAGTAGCCATATCCATCACTCAGGGGTTCTCTGGTTCAGTTTAGGTTGCCATCTGTCAGTGCGAGGAGAAGGGGCCAGGCAATAAACAGGGCTTATCTTTTAAAAGGGGAGAAGCAACTTGCGAAAGGGCTTCTCCACCAGATAAGTCCCAGGTTTTTTTTTGTGTGTGGGGGGGTTGCCTGCAACAGTTCTGCGGGGGGAGGGGGCTATCGAAGCCTAATTTAGTTCTTCCCTCCTCTGCATTTTTATGAAAAAAACCCTCCTCCGGTTTCTTCCACCAGGTGTCAGTTGTCTGCTTCAAACATTTATTCGCTTCAAAGCAGTGACATTTTAAGTTAATTAAATATAAGCTAATTCCATGGCATTTGCTTCTACCTCCTCCAACACCACACACACACATACACATATATACGTACACACACACAGAATCCCCCAACCATACACTTTACTCAGATGCTAAGCTGCTTGTTGATGATTAGAGAGAGAGAGAGAGAGAGAGAGAGAGAGAGGTGCCTAGCTGTTCTTTCATTTAGAAAAATCCACAGGTAGAACATGCAGGGCTAGGGAACATTTAAAAACAGCATTAGGCAGACTGGTCACAGGACTGATGTTGGCAAAGCTCAGAAAACAGAAGAAGGAGGTGCAACGTAAGGCTGGCTCTCAGAGCAAGGTGCAAAAAATAACCTAGAAAACTGGGTTTGCATTAGCGATTATAACGCCTGTCCTTAATCACAGATGAACCCCCCCCTTTTGTCCCCAATGCATTGACCAGTAAGGCCTGGTCCTCCACAAGATGCATTACCCCCCCATGGTTTGCCGTAAGGGTTGTCAACTTCCAGTCTGGCCCTGGAGAACTCTCAGAATGACAGCTGATCCACAAGATTACGGGGATCCATTCCCCTGGAGATGCGGCTTCTTTGGAGGGCGGACTCCATGGCATCATACCCCACCGAGGTCCTTCCCTTCCCAAACCCCATCGTCCCCAGGATGCACCCCCGAATCTCCAGGAATTTCCTGACCTGGAGCTGGCACCCTGTCCGCTATAGCAAATCGAGGTATCCCCTGTCCCCAAAGGTGGTTCACTGTGTTACCTAGAGCCTCCAGAGCCCCATAGAGAGGTTTCCCCCTCACACACACACACACTGCAAAGGAGAGAGTGTGGCCTCCACTCACATTTCCTCTGTGCTCTATAGCCTCCCATTCTTTTTTTCTTTTCTTTTTTTTGGGGGGGACTAAATTAGAAGCATTAAAAAAAGGAAAGGAGTTAGGTGTGCCTGGAGAACAGCAGAAAGCAGCCAACTTAGGCAGATTTCCTTTCCTTTCCTTTCTTTTCCTTTTCTCCTTCCCCTAGCCCCAGGCCAACAGTGGAGATGGTGGGGGGGACCACTTGTTTTTTCTCCTCTTCAGGATGAAAGGAACTGTGTTTCTGTGACACTGGAAGCAACTTATAATCCCTCTGCAGTGTCCACAGAGTGAAACAGCTGCCTCCAGTACTCAAAGCATCCCCCTCGCCTTGGATCCTCACTGGACTCCTTGCAGACTTGACAGGTACCAGATTGAGAACTAGATTCTCAGTGCCTTTTTGTTGCTGCTGCCGCTGCCGTTGCTGTTTTAAATTTGACAGCAACAGGGCAAGACAGCCATTACCTTACCAAACCAAGAAGCCGTAAGTCATTTAAAGGTTTGCTTTGATGTGGCTTGATTGGCACCAGGGGCTTCCTGATATACTTTGGGCGAGTGAAAGGAATCAAATAACACCCCCCCAACACACACACAATCAAATAACACCCCTCCCAACACACACACACTGGAGTATAGGTTGACATCCCAGGTAATGTACACCAGTCTTTAAAAAAAAAAAAACTGTTATTTTCCTTTTTATTTTAAACATATTTTTTTCTGTTGTCATTTTACAAAAAAAATCAATAGTTGGTACTTTTTTCTTTTACACTCAGGTTTGTTCTGAATATTGACAGATCTTTAAAGAGAGCTGTTCTTTGAAATCTCTCTCTCTCTTTGAGTGGACTGTCTCGAAGGTTTTTAAGCCACAGTAAAGCTAAAATTTCAAGTCTTGTTTTTTTGGGGGAAAGAGCTCCCCCCCCTCTCTTTTAATAATAATTTTAGCAAAGACGGGCACCGTGTCAGCAGCATCAGCAGCAGTCTGCTCTGCCCCCCCGACTGTCTTTTGCTCGGCCCTTCGCTATTTGGTTTCCAGAATTCCCCCACCAGAAAGAAATAGACACGGAACAAGCTCACACCTCACATTCCCTGGCTGGGGGCTGGTGGCAAGTGCAGGATCCATACTCATTAATGATCACCAGCGCTCCCTCAATGTGATTGGGCTTGTAATCAACGTAATACTCCTGGGCTGACATGGCAGCCATCTGATGCATGGTCTGTTTCTGCTTCTGCTTCCTACGCTGTGTCACAAAGCACTGCCTCAGCTGCCTGAGGCTGGCCGGGAAACACTTCCAGGAAACGTACAACACCAGGACCACAATGAGGAAGGAGAAGATCAGGGCCATGGTCCCCGTGACCACCTTGTGGATCTGAACAGCGTTCTCGCTGTTCTGGCCGGGCATAGTTACCGTGACGGCATTGGTCGTCCTGTCCCCTTCGGTCTCCTGCAGGTCGTAGTTCAGGGTGGCCGGGCTGTAGCTGAACAGCTGGTCGCTGTTGTTGGCCACGGCCAGCTGCAGGTGACCTTCGGTGGTCTGGTCCATGGCATCTTCACACAAGTGGAACGCATAGACCGCATCTAAGACATCCTCGCCCTGCGCATACTCGGGGGTGGCACAGAGCAAGTTGCTGTCATAGCGGCCCTTGAAGCTGCTCAGCCAGGAGGCCAAGGCACAGATGTTGCGGCCACAATCCCAGACGTTGGCAGAAAGGCTGATGCTCGTGAGGGACTTCCAGGAGCTGAGGATCCTCGGGTGGATGTAGGTGAGCCGGTTGGAGTCCAGCTGCAGGGACTGGAGGTGAGGGACGCTCTCGAACACATGCGGCTCGATGTGTTCGATCTCGTTGCCCGAGAGGTCCAGTTTCTCCAGTTTCCACACCCAGTCCAAGGAGTTGACCACCAGCGTGACCTTATTCCTCCGTAGGCAGAGGGAGTGCAGCGCAATAAGCCTGGGGAAATGGGCCAAGTTCACCTTCACCAAGTCATTGTGCTCCAGGTGCAACTCGGCGAGTTTGAACAAGCCGGCAAAAGAGTTCCGAGCCAGGCTTTTCAACTGATTGTATCCTATGTCCAGAAACTTGAGGCTGCGGCAGTCCTGGAAGATGCGGACGGGCACGAACTTGATGGCGTTGGACCTCATGTGCAAAGTCGTCAGCTTCCGCAGCCCGTGGAAGAGGTCCGGCTCCAGCGCCTGCAGGTTGTTGTAGGATAAATCCACACTGCGCAAGTTGGGCATGGGCCGGAAGGTGGTGTTGGGCAGCTGGGTGATCTTGTTGGAGCTCAGCGTGAGCTCCTTCACCCTCCGCAACTTTTGAAAGGCGTCCCCCTCCACGGAGCAAATGTGATTGTGATCCAGATAGAGCCACGTGAGTTGCATTAACCCCGTGAACTGTCCGTCGCGCAGCTCCGAAAGGCTGTTGTACCGCACCGACAAGCCCATCACCCCCGACAGGTTGTGCGGCATCTCCGTGAGGTTGAGGGACTCGCAGTACAATAGCCTCCCCTCGCACCGGCAGAGGAGCGGACACCCACTACTCACGGCTGGAAGCATTTTGGAGACGAGAGCCAGCGTGCACAGGATCAACCCCGGGGGCTTCCTCAGGAGCCAGTTTAAACAGACACCAATGAGAAGGAAATCCATTAGCGAGAAGATCCCCAAAGGCGCTCGAGAATGTCCATGGAATCTTTTGTTCCTCAGTTCCCTTCCCCTCCGGATCCTACATCATACCGTATATAAAATAGAGGGGTCGGGTGGGGGGGGGGCCAGGCGAAACCAAGCGTCGCATGGGGGTCCCGAGTCCCTGGCTTCGGGGGTCCCTTTAAAAAAGCACGAGCCCGGCATGCAGAGATCTGTACAACGTTAAAGTTCAGAGGCATTCAAAAGGTGCGAGGGGGTTCCGGTCCACCTTAGATGCTGCAGCAAAAATGGAAAAGAAAAAAAAAAGGAGGAAAGAACAATTAAAAAAAAATCTATATCTCTCTCTCTTGGGGGGGGGGAGGAAAGAATGAAATTTTAAAAAAACTGTCTTACCCACCCTTTTTCCAGAGACTGACAACCTCCATTCAGCGGCTTCCCTTTGTGTTCGGACTTAATTATATGCAGGGCTAAAAAGGAGCTCTCTGTTGCTCCCAATTCGGTCTCCCTCTCTCTCTTTCTCTCCCCTTCCCCCCCCCCCTCCTTTCCGCCTTCCC